TGTACTTAGAATATTTATTATTTAGCATAAAAATCTTTAAAATGCAATTTAATTCAATAACCTAAGTAGTTGAGGCGTATAAAAAATAAATAAAAATAAAATAAAAAATACCACTATAATGATTAGATTGATAAAGTTGACTTTTGTCTTGCATGTTCATGAGTTGAGTTAATGCCATTATTCTAGCATACGATGACATCAATAATAGAGATAATTGCTGCTGATTTATGGGATTTAACGAAAATGGAGTATTGAATCCTTGCATCATTGGTTGTTGCATTATTGGTTGTTGCATCATTGGTTGTTGCATCATTGGCTGTTGCATCATTGGTTGTTGTATGATTGGCTGTTGTAACATTGGATAAATTTGTTGATTTCCTTCCATTGATAATCTCGACATGCTTGGAGAATCATCTTGAACCTCTTGTGTCACCGAAAGTTCTTGTTGAGGAATAAATCTAAGTTTTCCTGTAGTAAATAGTAATTCTATAATTGAGTATGAGTGGAAAAAATATTAATTTATGTWGGTTCCCTTGTTCAAATAAATTATGTTTGATTACAGTTTTGTAATGATATTAATATTACCTTCATTTATAGGTGAAAGAACTGAATTTGCAAATCTAGAACAAAATTAAAATGTTTTCCATAATATTTCACCGACCATTTCAATTCAATTAATGTTTGTATTCACTTTGCACATTATTTCACAATAATACAACATAGCAAATACAGATTCTATTTGACAAAAATAGAAYTCTTAGGATAATGTTACATTTATCCAACATTTTATGAATAACCTGCTAGTTAAGTTTTAAAACTACATATGTATGTGTAGCATTAATTTCATAGAGGTACGTAAGTATTTTAATAGTTAATGAACCAATTATTATTTACTTCAAAACAAAAATATCGGATAAGATTCAATGATTTATTCCAGACAATGTTAATAAATTTTTTTTTAAATAACCATAACTAATAGTTACACTAAATGATTTTCCGTTAAACAAATAAGATGTGTTAAAAAAAAAATCAATAAAAGCAACTGCATTGTTTAGATAGATACCTTATAAGTTATTAAAAATTATTATTATATGCAGGTATTATAATTAGTACCTATACAAATTATAGTGTTTAGAAACAAGCGTATTTTAAAAAATAAATAATTTTATAGTTATGCATCGTACTAATCAATCTAAGTTAGCAATAATCGTTTGATTGTTRGACAATTATATAATATGCAATAATTACGTACCTACAAAAATTAGCTGTACGTTGTGTTTTTATTATTTAAAAATAATTTGGAGAATACTTACTGAGTAGCCAATCCAATAGATAAAACTATCGAGATTAAAAGCATTATTATTAATTTGAATATATGCTTTCAAATAGTACCAAAACTATATATGATTCACACTATGTCACCTTTACATTGGGACGGGTAATATTTATAAGCCAAAATTATATAATATGTTAAAATGTTAAACTCACAAATGTTAGTAATTAGCGATGACTTATTAAAAGTACTGTAGGTACTTTCATTATTTTAAACACATATTTTTTCTTTGTTGCATAATTACTAAATAAAGGTAAACAATATAATATATTATACATATTTAACATAAATGATTTTACTTACCTTTTTCTAATGAGTGTAATATTAAAAAGCCGGGGAAATCCCTCTGCTATATAAAATATTTCAAATGTACCTCGTCATTGAGAATAAGTCATAATTCACAGCAATGAATGTAACATCAGCATATTCTATTGAGGATGCTCATTAGTTTCAGTACTTATCATTAAAATATTTGACTGATTCTTTACACGATTCGTGTTGCGCATAGGAATGAATAATTGATACGTATAATGAACATGAAATGATGAGACTATAAGTTTATCCGAAACAGTTGTACCAACTACCTGCGAATCTTGACTGCTATCTATAAAACATCAGAGAAATGTTAAATTAATTTCAAGTCATCCATCTGTTAAATCACTCAAATCAAGTGGATTTACAATGGGGAAGTAATTATGAGATGGATGATCAATATTAAATACAAGTGCTGAAAATTATATCTTTTAGTATAAATTATTGAAACCATGTGTGGATGTATAAGTAATAATAAAAAAACAATTATAATATTAATAGAATTTTATTTTATTTTAATTGAATTGTACTTATCTATAGTTGTAATTCAGTGTCCATGTGTATGTATGTTAGATTCATTATTAAATTGAACACAATTTTTAATTCATCAAAAAAAATATTTATGTATTTGAATTTTGTTGTTCGGTTATTTACAGATGTCAGCTGTCGTTTTATTATGAAATAAGCCAAGAATTAATCATACACACACACAAATTATTAATTAATTTAAGTCATTTCAGGTCTCAGAAGTGTCATTGGGTTTCTATTAAAATACAAAATATTAGAAGTAGATAAAATATGTAATATCAAAGAAATAAGTATAACATAATATGCTTATACTCGTATAACCATAAGACAAAACATTTAAAGAGGGTGTAGTGGCTAGATGGATTAACTCGTCGGTTGCAACGAGCATCGTCGCCGGTTCGGATCCCAACCATGGATGGCATCGCTTTCCAGGCAGTTCATGCTGTCTATAAAGAGAGGCCACCACCCCCTACCCGGACACGGCAGAAACCTACGGGTGTCCATTCGAAATTCTGCCAAAAACATCCACGAGTACTAAAACCAACAGTTCCCTCCCCCACAGTTCCACAGGCTAATGGCCTTTGGTGTCAAAGCCTCAATCCCCCCTCCCCCCCAAAAAAAAATTTAAAAAAAAAACAACATTTAAAACCATATTATAGTAAAATTTTAGTTTAAACTGTTTTTGCAAAAGTAAAAGCTGTACAAAATTTATGGAAG